CAAGGGGGAGCCTGGCACCCGGGAGGCGGCGGCAGCGCGGCGGGACGGGGCGCAGGGCATTTGCTCGGATCCCGGAGGGGATATGGGTACCAACGGGGCTTGGAAAGGAGGTGTCAAGAAGGATTCTGTCTCCCACGGGACGCGTTAAACCAGAATTTCCCCAAGGCGAGCTTCCCACCCCCAGTAATGTCTCTGAGACCATCATCTGCCCGCCAGCTCCCCAGTACTTCTTTTACACCTTTTGCTGCGCGTTTGTTTTCATCGTTCTGTCTGTGCACTTGTGCATCCATCCTGTGAGCAACCACAGGTTGGAGGTAATAGCTCTTGCTCCTGAATTATCTTAGCCTGGTGAGACTGTGTGCAGGAAGCTCATGCAATAGCCCAGAGCTTCTGCAGGATGATGGCCTGCACTTAAGAATGCTTGCCTTTATTATCACATGTATCTTAGAGTCCTGCAGTACTATAACACATCAGTTAATTAGAGTTTAAATGACCAGGGTCTTGTATCCAAACCTCTCTAGAGAAAGTAGTTAGATAGCACCAATTATTATGAAAGCAACTACTGATTTTGAATGCATCTTTTTTTTTTTTTTCTTTTATGGTTACCCTGAGACACGAAAAGGAGCTCAGTTTTCTCTGCATGGGTGATGCGTAATTTAGGAAAATCAGGAGCACTTCATTTTCAGATGTATCTTCCAAATCATGGGCTGACTTGAGAAGTGCTGGTCTTTCAAACACGTAAGTTTGCAATATTATAAAAGCAATAAATAATACCAAGGAGTCTGAGCACCTCATTTTTCCCTCTCCAGAATTTTGCAGCATTATTACATACTGTCACAAAGGCAGTTCACTGCCCTGCAACCCTGGGCCCCACAGCAGTTGTGCATGTAACTCATCCCAGCTACATATGCATTCTTTAGGGTATTGAGCACCCCCCACACAGAGGTTAAGGACTGAAGTGAGCCTGAACGGCTTTTGCTCTGTTTTGTTGTGCATCCCAGTGAAGAAAAGCTATTTCATTATTACAGTTGGTGTTATACTGTGGCATTAATAATATTTACCATCATAGTGCATTGTATTTTCTTCATGAAGAGGTCAAAGATAGTAAAGACTTGATGCTTGCAACTTTTTTAATGATTTTAAGAGTATTATTATTCCAATGTAAAGATAAAAAAAAAGGGACACAGAATTTGTGATGGCAAAATTATTTGTCCTAAGTGATATTTCAAATCAGTGAAAAAGTGAAACATTCTTACCAATTGAGAGCTTTTAAAATTATTTTCATTGTTGTTAATGCTGATGTTATGTGGACTGCTGTGAAAAGGTCCAAATCAAAAGAAAACGGAACATTTAGCTCATTTTCTGGAATTGCATCTCTTTCTATAAAATTATTTATTAGTTGTCTGAGACGGTAGTATTTAATCTAAGCCATGCCGTTTATCTATGTTCCTCTGCAGCCAGCGACAGAGATAAGCA